GGAATGGAAGTTTACTGTGGCCAATCCCCGACATAATCATTCACGCAGCGAAGATCCCTCGGGGCACACCGCCAACCTTAAACTCACAAAGGAGCTCTATGAGCAAATGAAGCAACTAGGCGATGCGGGATTAACACCGGCCCAGATTCTTCAATCACTCAAGAAGACCAATCCCGATAAGCCAATCTTGGCCACCATTTCAACCGTTTACTCCGCCAGAAAGAAGGCTCGCGCAGAAGAGTTACGCGGAATCAGCCCGATTGTTCATCTGAATCAAACCCTCACAACAGCCTTCACCTCAGCAACCAAGGTAAACGATTCTGGCGAAATTCTCGGTCTTTTCTTCTGTCACAACCACTCGCTTCACCTCCTCCGTCATTTCCACTATGTCTTATTCCTCGATTGCACCTACAAGACGAATAAGTATTGCATGCCCCTCCTGCACATTGCCGGCGTCACTGGATCTAACCAGTCCTTCAGTGTCGCCTTTGCTTTCCTTCATGAAGAAACCGAACCATACTACGAATGGGCTCTTCAATCCCTGCTCAACGTGTTCACCAGCAACGACATTCCGATACCTGAGGTAGTCTTGAACAACCGGGAACAAGCTCTTATGAACAGTCTCGACTCCGTTTTCCCCACAACGAAGCATCTACTGTGTACCTGGCACATCAACAAAAACTTGGTTTCTAACGGCGCCAAAATGATCAAGGACAAGAAGAAAGAGGCCGATATGATCCAACACTGGAAGAATGTCATCAACATCACGACCACCGGCAACTTTAGGGCTGCGTTTGACCGATTTGCTGGAAGTTATGGCAACAAATTTGGCAAGTACATGCTCTCAAACTGGCTCCCAGTGGCGGAGAAATATGTGAACGCCTGGACAAGGGAAGTTACCCATTTTGATCACCGGACAACATCTCGTATTGAATCGTCACACTCATTTGTCAAATCACATCTTCTCGGTCCGAATCAATCCCTCAACTCCACCATCAAAATGATTACCAATGCAATTGAAAAACAAGTACACGAGATAAGCACAAGCCACCGCCAGGAAAAATCGACGCTCTCATGAATCTTGGTGCCCTGTTCGACAATTGCCTGAGCCGGATCACCCATTTCGCTCTGAGGAAGGCTCAAAACAACCTGTGAATATCTGCAAACGTTGGGAAGAATGATCATTGTAACGGCTTTCATCGACTCCGGACAGGTATTCCGTGTAAACATCGCCTTGCAGAGTGGCTCGGTCGGGGGGAAAGTTGGAACCGCAGACTTTCACCAACAATGGCATATTCATGTATGTTTATAAATTTTCTCCCCTCAGTACTAATTTTCTCCTCTCCATATACAATATGCTTTCTTTGATCATCAAAAGGATCTTCA